TTCAGCCCGTCAATTTTTTTGCTTATGGCTTTGATCTGCCATTGGATCAGATCATTTTCACCACAATTTCCTAGCAGTTGGCTCTTTTATTTGCGCACCAATCGTGCATAATGCTCATGGAGATCTCGAATCAGTAACTGTACAAGTAGAGGCGTTCGTTACTCTCCTCATTCCCTCCCTGACGATGGTGTAAAGCACCGAAACGTTGCAAGAGAACGCAGGTTTCGGGATGTGTGAAAATGATTATCCGTACTAATCGTTATCATCATGGGTAATCTTATTCACTCAATATGACTAAGAAAGTAACTCTCTGAAGTGCACATTCCGCGTGCCGGATCCATTCGGCGACAATTGAAATGATTGTATAATTGGACGAAGATTGTTCTAATTTTGGACGTCATAGTTTCTTCTCATCCAATTGATCTACCTCACTCATCATAATTGGTGTCTTGTCATCTTTCGTTAACCGTCATCATATTCCTGTTCGATCCATTTCTGCTGCATCTAATTTCATTATATTCAACAGTATTCTGTATTATTATTGTTTTAATCATAATTGTCATCGTATTTATTTGTATTTTTGCTTCAGTTCAATGTTCATTTGAATTCATTTCTCTGCAATCTATTCATCTTCACTCTATTTGATTCTTTTCATCGGTCTTTTCGTTATTAATGTTATTTATTTAATTTAAACAAATTATTTAGTTACCCCTCAGAAATACAACCACCGATTGAAAAGATTTAAATTCCAGTTGGAATAATTTCAATACCGAATCAGGAAATGAAAAGAATAAAAGGAATCATACACTTTAATAAGAGTAAGCGCATTTTAGTTGTAGTATAATTAAAGCAGATGTTGCAGTGGCATTGTGAATTCGTCAGTACCAAGTGGTGGTGGTGTTGTTTCACCGCAAACCAGTAAGTCGACGTCAAGTGCAGCTGTTTGTCCTGCCTCAGACCAGTCGCATCGTCGTTCATCTGAACTTCATTCACCTAGCTCATCTTCATCCAAACACAAAGAGAGGTTAGTATTAAGCATACAAGAAAGTTCCCGGGCTTTTACGCTGGCAAACAGATATAATGAAACGTTGCGTTTCAATGTAGACTTGTTGTATGTCCTTTTGTAGCTCATTTTCCACGCTATCTGAATATACCCATCTTTGGTCTTCATTCTTCCAATTTGGGAACTCTTGGAGCATTGAATTCAAGCTATGGACAAGAAAATAATTAGCGGAATTATGCTTCATGGATTCAAACTTGGTCGTTCGAGCAGACAGGCAACGGCTAATATTAACAAAGCATTTGGGGAGGGAACCACTTCCAGATCGACAGTTGGGGATTGGTTCAAGATGTGTGCTGCCTGAGAAATGAGTCTCGAAGATGAACCGAGGTCAGACTGCCCTTCAGACCTTAACAACAAGTTGGCATTATTCAAAAAACACTCAACTCATCTATGGCAGTTTGATAAGGTCAAGATGGATTGCACATGAGCTGGACGAAGTGCAGCAATTCAGACATTTGGAAGTTCATTCTTCATTGCTGCTCACAAACAACAGTGGTTCATTCCTTGATCGAATTGTTACCGTGGATTGAATGTGATAATCAGCCGAGGTTAGCTCAATAACTGGACGTAGATGAGCCACCAAAAATGATGCCGAAACCGACACTGCACCACGACAAATCATGCTCATCGTCTTCTGGTGTCGTGCATGTCGAATTCGTTGAGCATGGGCAAACCATTGACGTCGAATACCACTCTTGTAAACGTGAGGATGAGTTGTTGAGAATAAGGCGAACAATGATGAACAGAAGTGGTCAGATCCTTTTACTGGATAACGCCGGACCACAGTTTGCAAGAACAACGTTACAAAAATTCACCAATTAGGTTTTGAGATTCTACCTCACCAGCCTTACTCTCCAGACCTCTTCCCAACAGATTATCATCTGCTCAAAAACCTGAAACTTATCCTGCGTGGGAAGAACTTCCCAAATGAGATGGTACTAAAAGCTGACGTCCGTCGATTTTTTGGTTCCAGGGATCCTGGTTTCTATGCTACGTGTTGGCACCGTTGTGTGAAGGCGAACGGTTTTTATTTTGAATAAAAATGTTAATTTTGAATCGAGTTATTAAAATTTGAAATTTCGGGTCTAACTGCCGGAGAATACCTGATATTCTTGTTATTGTGAAAGCGTAAATAAATATGAATGCCAAATTGAAATTAAGATCATCGCAACATCGCGCTCCGCAGTCCTCATCCTCTCGTCGTGCATCCTCTCGTGAGCACTGTTCTTCATCACGTACTGATGAGCGTTCACAACGATCGCGCACCTTACTGAATACTGATCGGTTCGGTTGCTTTCTTTTTTTGTTGTTGTTGTTTCCTCCTAAATCAGTTATCCGGCCGTCAGCCATATACTCTTCAATGATCAGTCGTTAAATACTGGTAGTCAAGTTTCATTCATTAATCTATTAATATTCATTAGTATACTCTATTGCTCCAAATCGAGCTAGCGCCCCTTAAAAATTCATGCTTGTTATACGAATAAGCAGCAGCATATTCATAACTGCATATTTTCAGGCGCAATGGTGGTGAATCGCGGAATTCACGACGATCTCGACGCTCACCACGTTCATCTGAGTCATCCGATTCAAGTCGGGATTCGCCGAGCTTAAGGTAGTTGTGATTTATGACGATAAATTAAACTTGTCCCTTCATTTGCTGCTCTTTGTGGTTGTTGCTGATCGATTATGTTTCATTGAAAGACGGTAGGCAAGGACGGGGGGCAGGAGAAAATTTCATTTTGATTCATTACTGCTGAAGTTTGTTAGAAGCCACGGAAGGAATGCTTCATACAGTTGGTCTGTTTTTACTTTAAATCAATGCCTGTCTTACTTTACTTAATGCCTTCTCATTGTTCTTGACTCATTTTATGTCTCCGATCTCAGCTCTATCCATTCCCGTTTTGTTATTGGTCTTTCTCTGTTCATTTCTTCAGTCTGAGTCTAATACTTCCTTCACTAGTGCAGTTGCTGATAACGATATCGCTGTGTCTGCATGAGCAACAATCTGTCTGATGCATGATTTGTTGGATTTTTGATCACTAGTTGCTGCATTATGACTTCCACCCTAGCTAAGAATACGAATACGTGCATAATGCGTAAGAATATGAGCTACAGCTCGTATTCTTATGCATGCCCACAGAAATATAGTGCTTGTTCGGTCCGTTTTCCTTGAGCTAGGCTACTCCACCAATAGTTTGCATGTAGGAGTAGCACTAGAAAATTGAATTACACTCTAACCTAGAAATTCCTTGGGGTTTGCTAACTGACTTTATTTTTTCGTTTTTAGTCTGTGATGTTTTTGAGTTTACGTCTTTTTTTGAGTCTTAACGCATGCTCACTTCAAAACTGAACGAGTATCCAGTTTAAGCGTTACAGTTTTGAGTATGTGATCTGCTGAACTTTCCAGTGCAGCTACCACACACATTAAACACTACCTTCACATCGACCTCAATGAATTTCAGTCCCTAAAAGATTTGATCACACAAATCGACTACCGCTCCTCCATGCCAACAGCCAGCGATATTGCTCATTTTGAAATAGCAAAAAAAAAGTTCTGATCAAGACTAAATTTGCATTGAAGGTGCGCTGAAATTGAATACAAATTAGCCGCGTGGAAGTGCTGTGTCGAATCGGAATGGCGAGAGTGTACATGATTTTTGAGTGACACATAACATCTTGTTGGGGCAAGGGAAAATTTGAGGATGGATTGATTCCTTATTCAACTGTACTTATTATCTTTTGATACAAGCGGCCAGTTCGTGACATCTTTGATCGATAGGAAAAGAGAACGGGGAGTCGCGGTCTGAACGGAGTGCGAGAGTATGTTATATATGATCAAGTTATAATAGTAATCGTTTTCAGTAGCACATCACTGCATCACCACCATCCATCTTCAACTGTGGCTTCAACCGTTCTTAAATTACCTAATTCTTCATCGACATCTAATTCACGACGCGTTGACAATAATAATTTAAATGATGCCAATAATAATATGAATGGTAATATATTAAATGATGATATTAATAGCAATAATAACAGTACTGATAACAATGCAACAAATACACAGTCATCTATGAATATTAGTGCTCATACTAATCGTAATAATAATGATAATAATAATGCTAGTAATACATGTACACAGTTGTCACCAACAGCGCAAGGTACGTTCAGTTATTATTATTGCAGTAGTAGTGGTTGTTATCATTATTATCACTGCTGTTATTATGGTTGTTATCATTGTCGTTATCGGTACTGCATATTAGTTGACAGTGAAGAGTAGTTGAGAAATGGGCAATGATTAGGTATCGCCAAGAAATGCTTAATCGTAAATAGTCGTTTCTTTGAAATGATGACAAGACGGTGTATTTGAATGTGAACAACGAGGAAATTACTTCAAAATGACGACATTTACATGCATAAACACAAACACATAAATTCTCAACATTTTTCCGCCAATGAATTTCATTCGTTGAGAGCAGATTTAAACTTTTTTAAATTTTCTTTTGCGAGCAAGAAACTGATTGTTGATTGTGATTCTATATGTTTGTAATTTGATGTTCTCGTTGAAGGTGTATATGTATCGAATTTACCCTCTTCACGAAGTGAATCATCGCTACGAGAGTTTTTAACGAATTCATTCAAAAAATTTGGTAAACTAGTTCATATTGGCTTTGAGACAGAATTAGCACCGAATTTTGTGGAACAACGTAAAGCGTTGATCATTTTTCAACGGTTCGTCAATTTGTTGTTCATTTCATCGTTATGGTGCACGTGCATAATTTGCTTTATTAATAGCCTCGATATTTTTAATTCAGGTTGACCGATGTTGATCGATTATTGAATGACGTTCATCATTTGTTGGGGTTACGACTGAAGATAAAACTAGCCAATCCTATGGCTGTAACAGAGGCGTATAATAATTTACTCGTTATTCCGAGTGCACAGCTCACCGCCACAACATCGAGTGGTACCAGTAATACTAATAATAATAATAACAGTAATAATAATAGTAACAATAATAACAGTAATAATAATAGTAGCAGTGGTAATAATATTGCAAGTACATCGTCGTTGTCCTCATCACACGATATCAATAACATTCCTTCAACTTATTCACGATCTTTTATAAAGGTACATTCTTATAATCCTATTTAACCAGTGTTTTTATGCTCATTTCTGAGAAAATTTACCATTCTGTCAAGTTGGTTTCATGCTGATTATGAGTAATTATGTGGTTCAGACTGCTGGGATCCTAATAATGTGGTCAAGAAATTAATTGACTGAACTTTATAATTATCCTTAAATTTTTTGTTGAAATTTTGGTGTGTCATTGGATCGAGTTACGGGATTTTAATGATGTTTAAAGGAGAGTTCCTCAACGGCATCATCATCAACGTCATGTGTTGATGCACTTGCACCGCGTGCTTCAAGAACGCTGTATGTTGGAGGTTTAGAAAGGCGTGTTAGTGACGATTCACTGCGAGTACGTTTCGGTCACTTTGGACATATTCTCGATATTGGTAGGTTACTTGATTGCTGCTGTGATATTATTGCTCGAATTATTGCGACTGATCGTTAATGAGCTTTTCAGATGTGAAAAATTGGGAAAGTCCATCACCATTTGCGTTCATTCAGTTCGCTGACATCCAGTCAGTTGTACGCGCAATAAACGCTTATAATGGTGGAGCAGCATCTAGTGGTGTTGCTAATTCAGGATCTCATGCGGGAATTACGAGTAAAAACAAATTTAAGGTTCAGAGCATTTTTTGTTAATTATTGTAATGGCTGATTAATTTGAGTAATAAGTGAGAATGTTTTAACAGACGAATTGGGGTCGGACGATTGTGACGAATAAGATCTGGATTGGTGGATTGCCGGCGAGTTGTTCGCAGGATTACATTCGCGAGAAGATACGGGTCTCGTTCACTGACACGTTCAATGAGCTGATTTATGACCGACGATGGAATGAGGCGTTGTTGTTGTTCGTCAGTAATGACAGTGCTCAGCGAGCGTTGACCATGATCAAAACGAAGCAGATGTTGGTTGTTTATTGAAACTTGATTTGAGCTTGATTATCGTCATATCTGTCGCTCTTCAGTACTTTCTGGAATGACGACGAGAAGCGAGACGTGCATGTTCCGGTGGATTATTGCTCAGAGAAATTGCACGATTATTTCGTCGATCGCAAATTTCGTGCTGATAAAGAATCTGCAACAACAACGGTCGCTACTGCTGCTGCATCGTCTGCGCTATGTACGAATGCGGCAACATCTGAGCTGAATTTAAGTTCCAGTGGAACAACAGTAGTTGCTTCTTCATTCGGCGCTGGATCTTCATCTTCAGCCGGGGCAGCATCTTCTGCAGCAGTTGTTCCGTCAACATCATCACTATTAGCTCCTCCACCCGACCCACCTTCTCATTTGAGAGACACATCAAGGTGAGTGCGCTGACAAGAATTTTTGAATAGTTTTGTGATGGCGTTTGAGTTGATAGTGATTTTTTTGTTCGAGTGAGCTGCTATTGTTGCTGTATTAGTAGGGTTGATTGTTATCGTCGATCCACTTCTAATGGTTTATCCTCTTCGAAACGACGACGAAGCATTGAGCGAGAATCGGTCAGAAATTCATCACGTTCATCTCGATACTCATGTACATACAATAGGTTGGTGATAATCTATAATAATATTAATAACTGAGATATCGCAAGTGTAAAATGTAGGGCTCTATCATGATGTTTTGTTGTTGTTTGGAAACGACACTCAGAGCGAGTATCGTCTTCAAAGTGAACAAATAAATAAAAGTGGTATGTTGATTGAGATGTCGAAGACGTCGTGAACGTATGCCACGTCGAAACGAGGACGATCAATCCTCGTCGACATCCGTATCAACATCTTCAAGTTCATCATCGTCCTCTTCATCAACCGATTCAGATTCATCAGATTCACATATTACCGCATCTAATAATAATAGCAACACATCATCAATTAACACTAAACGAGATGATTCGATTGCTATTTCATCATCTTCAAAGAATTCAGCACTTCGTACTAACAATAATAACAGTAGTAACAACGGCAATCATAATTTGCCATCGCCTCGAAAGCAGGTTGGTGGGCTTTAGCTTTTGTTTCTTTCTTGTGAATTAATTGACCGAATGTTTGCATAAATATCTAACTGAGTAACTTTATTACAGCCAGCCTCATCCTCGTATACATATAAAAGGCATGCTTCATCAACAACACGTATCAATTCAGCTGCTGTTTCTTCCTCGAACAGCACTAATGTTAAAGGTAGTTTGTTAATGATTCTTATTGTTATTCGGCGATAATAATCTTGACAACGCTCTAGGTGGAGGAGGAGGCACTTTAAGTGAACGACGTTCTAAAGAAAGTGGCGCTGATAGCACGGAAACTCATCATCGTAATTCACGTGATAGTGGATTTTGTGAGTCATCTTCATCGCACGATTTGTTGATGCGATCATCGGAAGCAACACATCTAATTGCGGTTTGTATTTGAGTTGTGAACGTGATATGGTATGATGTTATCACGATTTGTCATTGTTTCGTTTCAGAGCAATATCGAAGAGATCGCGAATACACTCGTGAACCATATTCAGCACCACTCAAAAGCTGGTGTAGCGTCATCGCTGAGTGCGCTCGATTCAGCGCTACAACAAGCTCACACCACCAGCAGCAGCATAACAACGTCATCCACAAATTTGAGTAGCTCTAATAGTGGAACTGCTCAATCTGGTGTTCCCAGTTTCCGTAATCATGCCAACACGACCACCACCGATAATAATCGAGTAAACGCATTTCATCAGGGCGTCAGTAGCAGTGCCCATAGTCATAACAGCAACAGCTCATGCTCACAACAGCAACGTTCCTCTTCGCATTTCCCATCATCAAATCAACGCTCGTTATCGACCGAACAACATCGCGAAAGGGATCGAGAGCAGTCATCACCACATCATCATGTGACTGCAGCTGCAGCAGCATCGTGCCCAGCGTCATTGTGGCAGGCACAGCATCAACATCAGCAATCGTCAACAACGCCACTAGCAGTGGCCACTGCTCAATTGCCACTAAAACGTAGCAGATGGCCATGGGGTAATGAAGCATTAAAGTCACCGCATACAATTCCCTTAGAGCAAGCCCAAGGATCCGTCACTGCAAAAGACCCGCGAATGCAGCAGCAACAACACATTCAGAATCAGCGATCATCATCGTTGTCTTCCTCTTCTTCGTCTTGTTACGATCAGCACTCAAGTCAAAATCTGAATTTACCGTTGCCAAAATTTGCGTATGATTCGAAAATGGGTCGGGTGGGTGGTGCTAGTAGTAATAGTAGCACAGGGATAGCCCAGGCTTCAACAACAGCAACAACGGGTGCGAGTATGTTGGATAAACAGGTGAATGGCGCTCGTAACCACCGTCGATCATCGTCCTCGACCACGAAAGTATCACAGCATATATTGGATTCGAGAAAGAGTGCATCGTGCAGCCGGGCTGGAGTTGGCGCTGGCACGGCAACATCCAGTGCACTTCCGGGAGGTCTGTTTTTCAGTTAGTCTCTTTGAATTGAAGCTTGAAATATGCAGTGAAAAAATTTTGATCATGTCAAGAAAAAAATTCGGAAAGGAATAATGAACGTGAAAACAGTTTCAGGTGATGCAAGTTTGAGTTGCACCCCACCGAACTCGTCGATTGGTGCCCTGTCAAACAGGATGCCGCAAGCGATTCATCATGCGTCTGTTTCACGATCGGTGTCCAGTGGATCAGAGGCTATGTTATCACCTGATACCACCACGGCGGTGCATACGACACAGTGTCTTTCAAGTGTCTCATTCAGTAATAATGCTAACTGTTTCGATAGCATAGCCTCTGTTGGGGCTTTAACAACTTCAGCTGCTACAGCTTCGACAACCACCCTATCAGCATCACTCTCTGTTCCTTGCCCAGGTCCATTACCAACTCAACCGTCATCATCGCAAGCAAGTGCTATTAGCAGCACAGTTCCTTTACCTTCTGCAGCACCATTATCGTCATCGTCGACAACCGTCGATATTTTTGGTGATGGTGTTGAGTTGAATTCAACCGATTCAAATGCGGCGCTTCGTGAGCGAATTTTTGCGTTGGGTGCAAAGTTTCAACATGTTGATGAGACATTTCAAGTTTGTTTATTTAGTTTGTTGTTGTTTGCCTATTTATTGATGACTTATTCTTTTTGGATTTATCCAACAATGTGATCTTTAAGAAGACGAAGCGTACAACGCAATTCGATTATGAGCAACGGAAACCATCAAATCGGAGTGTTCATAAATTCGAGGAAGAGATAGAAAGACTGCGTGCCAAGACGTCATCAGCCACCACATCCTCAGCTGCATCGTGCTCGTCGATCGTTATCCAGTCGTCGGTTGTGGCAGTTTCTGCTGGTGCTGCTAACGGCACTTCTGCTTCATTGAGCACATCATCACCGACAACTTTTACCGATCCATTCTTATCTCCGATGAAGACTGCTCGAACCAGTGCGGCTATATCATCAATAACCGATACCACTCCTACTGCGACTGCTGTCGACGAGTATACTCATCCAGTTGCTCTAAGCAAATCATCTGCAACAACAAGCTGTGCGGTGATTCCGTCAACAAGTTATGCTGCACTCTATAGTACACCGAACAACAGTTCTTCATCTGCGCTTGGTACCTGTACGGTGACATCAGCAAATTTGAGTATTAGTACGTCAACAGTAGCAGTGTCATCACAAATCACTACTACAGCGGTGGTGAATGCTTCGGGTGCGGCGACTGCAAGTGGAGTTTTTGCAAGTGGTGCCGCTTCGGGACCGTTGAAAAAACCTCCGATGCCACCAAGCGCAGCAATTTTGAAGCAACAAACGGCTGCAGCCAGTTCATCAGCGTTACCATTGTCCTCTGCGTCTTTGTTATCAACAACAACTCCTGGCCATGGCTCCAGCTATGTTTCTTCATCATCTGCTGCCACTGTTCAGTCTCAGCAGCAAAAGCCTTACGTGCAACAGCAGATGCATCACATAATTGCATTCCCGCCTAATTTCAGTGTGCCACCCCCACCTATCCCGCAGCCACCAGCCCCACTGCCACTCCCTTCTCCGTCCATGTCGACATCATCTGTTCCTTCCACTTCTTTGGAGTCACATTCGTCTGATACTGCTGCTGCTGCTGCTACTGCTGCATTTATCAGTGCACCTCCACCGCCACCCCCCATGGTAAGTTCTTGTGAACATTTAATTGATTGTTGATAGCGCTAATCCAGCACTAAATGCACACGTTTTAGATAGGACAACAATGCTCATCAGGAACGCGAGGAGCACCATCGATATTGCTAGCAGCATCGCCATCGTGTTCGAGCGCTGTATTCTTGTCGTCGTCACCAACAACGACAACGATCTTATCACATCATGCCAGCACTTCATCGAATCAACTTCTTTTGAATACTGCATCTGCTAGTGCCACAAATAAAGCACAGCAGTCAGCAGTGAGTTCGAAGCATCATTTCTCGTCGACCACCACATCAACACTCCAACAACAACAACCTTCCAGTTGTGAGTTTGTGAACTTGAAATTGTGTGATACACTGATCCCAAAAAGCAATTCATCTGCACATATTTCAGCAGCAACATCGCACAATACTGATACTGCTCTTTCGAATGCTGCTAAAGGGAATGTCGCTGGTGCGGATAAGGTTGGGGTTATTCGTATTCGTATTCTTTATTACTAAAATACAGCGAATTCAGGTGAGCAGCAGTAGTGCTCGTGAAAGTGCACCGTTGCAACGCGCCTCTCTAACATCCTCTTCAAAACATTCTTCTTCATCTTCTCATAATGATCGCTCGAAACATAACGATTCCAACACCAAATCTCTAAGTGATCTATTCCGCCAACAGGTATTGTTTTCTTACCTATAACCTATATGTAGATGATTATTTCAATGTGGATTGCTTGTTTTAAGGCTCAAGATACATCAGAGATTCGTAAGCGACAAATTATGCAGAAAGCAAAATGTGATGAATCAAGTGATGTGAAACAGGAGAAATCGTCGTCGTATTCAGAAACACTACCGGAAAGGGGTATTTTCAAAGGCGTGGATGGGGGTGAAAAGAAGGTTAGTTTATTCGTTTGTTTGTGGTTGATTACTCAATTATCTACTCATCTATTTAATCAGCAGGTACAACTCATGACAAGTTTATGCCTCTCTGTTATCACCAGTATTACATTCTTCCTTGCATCTTTCCATGCAGCTAACAATAACAGTGCGGGGAATCATCTGACTTCATGAAACCCTAACTTCTGTTATTGATTTGGCGAGTAGGGCAACTCTCTTACATCGAATAATGCGATGCGCGTAATCGATTGAACATGCGTCCAATGATAGCCGTTTGAAACAGTTGACAGTAGTAAGCCAGTAATGTTCATGTAACCGAATGGGTCTTTAGCATCGGTAAACCAGTCGTTCAGGTCCAAATAACTGCTTCCACTCCCAATAATCGCTCCTAGTTTCTCTGATCATTAATTCATTTATACGTTTCTATTTGTTTTATGCAGATCTTTAAATTTACGAAGTATCAATTGAAAATCATCCCATGAAATAATTTCTTTAAAAATAACAATTTTGCAGGATAAATTAGCACGTGATAGTCAAAAGGATCGAAGAAGAGAACAAACTGAGAGCAGTGTCAATGGTCATCATAGTGCGGTTAATGCGGATAAGAAGGATAATGACGTTAGATTTTATTGCTTTCATTTCAAATTTGCATAAATGAAGTTCATTCTTCAAACAGGTGCAAGTAACATTATGGTGAACTGTCGTAATAGTTTTAGTTGATTTGTATTATTATTATTTATTGCTATTACTATTATTATGTTATTATGCCACGTGCAACAAACAAAACTGCAAACACTTGCAGACACATTACTATGTTTAGAGCTTAATCGGGACTAGTTATAGATTTGTTAGTTGATCGTCTCTCACAGTTGTTCTCTTCAGAAAAGTCAGCAAAATCGCGATTCAAAAGAGCATCATCACCAACGAAACAAAGATATGAATACGACGGCGACCATTGATCGCGCTAGTCGCGATAAGAAGCAACAGTCGAAAGATGATAAAGAAAAACAACGAGGCAGCAGCAAAACCAACAACAGCGACAGATCAAAAGAGAAATCAGTCAATAAAGCCAAAAAGGTTCGAATGCAGAACTGATCGAATCACTTGTGACTGTTATGTTTTTAATTCCCTGTAAAATGCCTCGTTGGCCTGGTTGATGAGTGTTAATAATAATAAAGTTAAGGAAGAAGAACGCAAAAAACGTGAACAAAAAGAAAAGGAACGGAAGAGGAAAGAAAAGCAGAAGGAGAGGAAACAACGGAAGAATAATAGTAACACTTCTGCTTTGAAAGATTCTGATGATGAAAGTGATTCGGATGAAAGTGAATCGTCAAGTTCTGATGAACAAATTAATATTCATGTTAGTTTTGTTTGATTTGTTTTATTCAGCAATAATTCGCTGATCAAATAAACTGATTAACTTTTGATTTGCTGATTTGATAAATAACTCACATTTGATTTGCTGATTAAATAAATAAATAAATATTCAGCAAATTTGTGCGAATTGAATTTCAGTTGTTGACTCAATTTCAGTCGTTCGATATCGAGATGCAGCGTTTGATGTTAGAAGAGGCTGCATCTGGCTCGTTAGGCCTTTCTATGTACGATCGTGTCAAACGACGTTCGTCTGCGATGAAACCTGACGACGCAGCCAAGAAGAATAAAACACTCGAAATATTACGTGAAAAAACACAAAGTAAACGCAATAATCAAGTGAGTAGTCCATTTAAAAATCATAGATTATTGCTTTGCAATGCATCAGCAGACCACCCAGTAAGCTTGTGGTGGTGGTGTTGCTGCAGTGCGAAAGTATTACAGCAGCGCAAGAAGTAAGTGAATAATGATAATCCCATTCTTGTTACTGTTGTTTCTGTAGTGTATCGATAACACTGACATTGCTTCATGAAAAAAATGCTGTAAGGATGGTTTGCTTTCAGAGGCGTGCGAAACGCGTGCAATTGGAGAGTTCGTCAGAGGAGAACGACGAGGGTGCTAGCCGTGGTGCAGCAGGGACAGGTACGATTATTGACTTATTGTCTGATAGTATTTGCAATGATCACTGCATTTAAGGTCTATCTACAACGACGAGTCGTGCAGCTGATGAAGACTATTCAGAGGACGGTCACTCATCAGTTGGTTCCAGTCAACAACATCGCTCATCGAAGAATAAGAATTATTCTACTGACAAAAAGTGTTCACTAAAATCCGGTCATCGTAAACAACAGCTCACCGCAACACACAGTGATAATTCAGAAACTGATGACGTATGTACATTATTGTTATCGTTGTAAATTTATGGATACATTGATTGATTGTTGTTGTATTTTCAGGACGAGAAAAGTAGTGAGGAATCGGTAAGTGACGACGACTTGAGAAGACGTACAAAGCGAAAAGGAGTTCAACTAAGCACAAGCGCAACGTCATCTGCAACTGCATCCAAAAAAGTGAGTGGCAGTAACAGTTTAAAACGGGTGAGTGTTTTTTTTTTGAAATGCATCATCCATGTCGCGATTGGTCAGTGTTGTTGGTCTCATCGAGCAGTCCGTATGCATCCGAAAATAATTCCTAATTCTTCAGACTAGCTTTGCCACCTCAAAAACATCAGTGAACACAACGTCAACCACACACTCACTATCGCTCGACGACGTCTTCGGTGCATACTCTACAGATGACGATGACGATTCCACACAGCATTCAAGAGCATCTTTTACACAGCATTCATCCTCATTGAATGTCGCCGCTGACCTCAGTCATACCAGTAATAGTAGTAGTAGTAGCAAAAATGAGAAAAAAGAGAGAATTAAAGATAAGAATAAGGAGAGATCCAAAGAAAGGGATTTGGAAAAAGAGGAAAAGGAACGTGAGCGTGAAAAGGAACGGTTGGAGAAGCAAAAGGAGCGTGAACGCGAAAGGCTGAAAGAACAAGAAAAAGAAAGAGGGATAGATGAAACAGAAAAGGAAAAAGAGGGGAAACCAGAAATGAAAAAAAGATCAAAGAAAAATCTTAGCACAATCGAGCTGTTTGGCCGAGATTCAGATATAGAAACTCCATCTGAAAAGAAAAAGCAAAAAGTGGTAAGCAAGAGTTTTATTGCTTAGTTTATTCCATAAATGATATTTTTCGAAAGCTAAAGCGATCATTATCATTTATGATTATTGATGTTTGAAAAATTAAGGAGAAGTTGTTGATTGAAATATCGATGTTTCCCGAGATGAATAAGAAAGAATCGTCGAAGCATAAGAAGAAAGAAACAAATCGTCGTAAGTCATCAAACGATTCCAAAAAGTCGAAAGATATTCAGACTTTGAGAAATGAGCAGTTCGAAAAGAAACTCGCAAAACGTCTTCGAAAAGAACAAAAGGTATTTTCTTTTCTTACATAACATGTTATTCATTCTTTTAATATTGTTTGTGAAGTTTATCAGTCTAAAATCTCCAGATGAAAGCGAATGAGAATGACGAATTATTTGAGGAACGAGAAGAGGAGTTGAAACGTGAGGCTGACGAAGCGATGAAGCGAAAGGTAGACGAAACGAATGAACCGATGAGGAAAGGTGCTGGGACAGGAGGTAATAATTCGATAAGTTATGGAAAAGCAATTCATAACAGGCAAAACATGACACAGTCACATAGTGTCTTATTGCTGAACTAATAAGTAAGGAAATTTGAATGCATTTAGAACAAGCTGTGGTAGTACAAGTGCAGAGGCCAAATGATGAATGCGACGTGGATGGCGATGCTGTGAACTTGAAGTTACCGAAACAAGACGGTAATGCAGATGTGAGGAAAGAAGACGACGGTGCTCTGATGCTATCATCAAAGGATTCGATCAGACTGCAAACTAGTGATAACGATAGTAGCAGTATTGCTAATAGTAGAGCGACAACAGCAACGAAACAACACCAGCAAACTAATCAGAAAGATTCATCATTCTTATCAATCAGAAAAGATGTGATGGAAGATGTGAAATGTTTTGATAATTTTCAAGATAATTCCATTCTGAAAGAACAGCAGCAGCAACGGAAACGAAAAGCGAATGAGAATGAAGGTAGGTGAATTTATCGTTATCATTATCCGAACAGTCGAGTAGTGAAGGACATGAATACGATTTGTGATTACGATGAAGATTTTTATCGAGCCATTCATAATCGATTTAAATAGCACTGAGAAAAGCTGAACGGTGTCTGGTCTAATTTCTTGATATACTTCATTCCTATTCCTCTAAACGTACTGATTTTTTAAAAGAGTTGTTGATACAGCTAATACGAAAAAAATTTAATTGATGATCTCAGTGATATAACTGAAAACTGTTAACTTATAGCATTTTCAACGATGGCTTCTATTAGCGCATGTCATCTTATAAAAAACGTTAGCAATACGTTTCAGAAAAAAGCAGCAAAAGGTTCCAACTTTGTAACTTACCGAGAGCTTTGAACCAAATAGCGTTGCGAAAATATGCAAAAGTTATTTTTGTTAGGGTGAAGGCAGGTGGTAGGCTGCATACGAATCTGCCAGCCTCATTAACGTGCCACGCACGACTAAGGTTCAAAAAATTCAACTCAACAAATGATTTACCGCAGTCGTGACCCAAACGGTTTGGACATTATAATTGTTATTCATTGGTTGTAGATGTAGCGGATGTGAAACGTATCAAAGAGGAAATAGTTTTGGATGACGAGAAGTCGTCCGATAAGAAACCATCGTTGTCACAAAAAGAAGCATCTGGTTCAGAGTCATCATTCAATGAAACGAAACAAAAGGTGCATTCATTTGTTTGTTTTGCAATCAATCAATGAAATCAACGAATTTATTTCGTACAGTAAATAAGTGAACAACTGAATTCGTTTTCACAAGCTTTCTATGAATTATTCATTGTTAAGCTTCAGTTGGATGATAACTTAATATATTTAAGTTAAACAAACGTCATATCTCGTCATCACGTAAGCGTGTGAAAAGCGACGAGAAGGAAGATGTGATTCAAAAACGATCGTTGCTATCGCAAAACATTAGGAATGATCTGTTAAAATCTGAGGAAATGGAAAATGTTGATGTGTTATCTGCTGATAGTGTTAGTTATTCATCTGATTTGATTAGTTGTTCATTGTTGGAATGATTTATTGTATGGATACTTTTAGGGGTTGAAATCATCTTCAAACGAGTTTGATGATGAACGGTCGTCATCGAAAACAGCTATAACAACAGTGGCATCAGCAACGATGATGAATGAAGAAGCGAATGAGAAGAAACTACGGAGGAAGTCGTCAGCAGATGACGATCATCAAGGCGCATCACTGCCTATTGCCAGTAATGCGAAAAGTGCAACGCCACCTCAACAGCAACATGTCATCTCAAAAGGCGCCATGAAAATAATACCATCGCAACAATCATCACAAACCTCTTCGTCGTCGAATGCAACTGCAACTGCAGCTCATATTAATACCCATGATATTGGTATGCATTCATCCTCACCAAAACAACAAGTGCTAATTACACAGTCACAACAACAACATTCACCGATGACTAGAACGGTACGTTCATATTATTGGTTTAATCCTTGCGAAAATTTCATTCGTAGTGATTTGAAAGGGAATGTTACAGGTTTATCCGTCGTCCATTTATTCAGATTTCATTTATTAATTCGTTGAATTATTCTTGACTTTTGCATTTAAAAATCCGCAAAATATTCGCCGCAAACAATCAAATACATATTTCTTTAATTGTCGGCTTGTCACGCACTTTTTTGAAATTAATGGCTATTGTCTTCGTTTTTGTTTATTTCATATGCGTTGTTGTTATTTTCTCTAGAATTGCTTCACTTTTTTTTGAGATTGATTATTGCTTTTTGATGTTATGGCTCTATCAAATTCAGCGAACGATTTCAGTGAAAGACGGCGATGATTTATTGTTGAGACAGCATTCGAATATCTTTTTTGTAGCTTAATATATTATTTATGCAACTTCAACTAATATTATTACTATTATCACTGTATAAGTGAGAAGCATTCTTCTATTAACCAATATTTTATTTGATAGGAAAAAAACGAATATGTGAGATTAGCTGTATCATTTTTACCGCTTTTCCTTGGTTGCCTCTTTCATTTTGGATGTGATGTACTTATTTCACAACACCGGTCGTTGTCGGAATATAATCTTCTTCTATTCCATTACGCTTATTAAATCAACACATTTTTGCACATTCCCTCACCCACCGCACAAAATTCACTGTCGCATGTGGCAATCATCAATAAAACAAGTCGCTTTAGCTTCAGATCTTGTCCTTTTGATTGTATGAGCTGATAGCTCACAAACAGGCGAATATTCTTGAAACGATTCCTATCAGTTGAGTATGTTTTTATGCATGTACTCGATCGTATT